CAGCAGCTCATAGTCATCTGGAAACCTTTCCTGTCATTGTTGCTAACAGCTAGACATAGAAGCTGATTCTGCCCTTCTAAAAAAACTCCAATATTAACAGCAAGTTTTTTTTCTGTCTAATCTCATGTACATATGAATATTGTAAATGTTGATTTCAAAAGTCCTGGTCAGATACAGCAGCAAAACTGCTGACATTGAAACATGTGGGTTTAATGTTGGTTCTGTCCCCTCCAGACATTTGAGCTCCTCGCACAGTGTCTGGTCTGATTCTTAATTCGGCACTGCAGTGGTTCTTGAGGTTATGTTCTGCTTGGAGTTTGTCTTTGGGAGGAAGGGTGGAAGGAGGAGAGTGCTTGCTGTCTCAGCCATTTAGGTGTATCTGTGAATGCACATGTTTTTGTCTCCCCCTGGCTTGCCTCTGTGATTTAATTATTTGGGCTTTTGTTCTGAAAGTGAGGGAATTGAAGGTACTCTGCTATGACTTATGTTTTCAACATCCCCTCAGGACCAAAAATCATTGTTCACAATTAAGGTGGAGTCTATGCAGTATGACATTCTTTCATCTATCCCACCCCAACCCTTTCTTTTTCTTTTCTTTCTTTTCCTTCCTTTAAAAATCCTTCCATTCTCTCAGGATTTCAGCCTTATTAACTATGGTTTGGTGCACTTCTTAGTAATTATTTCTTTTGACTTTTCTAGCACTAGGGACTGGCTTTTTCGTTTTCTTAATCCTTATTCTCCAACTTCGAAATAGTGAGGAGAACTGTTGGCTTATTGTTATATTAATAATAAATGCATCAAAGAAAAATTTTCACAAATGGTCATGTAAATGTCCTAGTAACATCAAGCCAGCTGTACTCTCCAGAGGCCTTGTGTTCCCATTGTCTTGTGCAGAGAGTACTAATTGGAATTGAGTTTCTTTTTCAAATGTCATGGAAGAGGCATGTTTTTGAATTTAGCAGCTTGGATGTCTGCTCTCAAAGCTTCTTGTGGCAAATTGTTCTTGCAGTAGCTGCAGTCATGAGATTGGTCTTCTGGCAGTCTCTTGGTCTTGGTCCGAAAAATCACTTTCTAGTTCTCAGACCTGCATCCCTTAGTCTTACAGAAGAGGACCACCAGAAAAGGAATGCATTTGGGGATTCAATTCTATATTGTGAGAATAGCAGGAAAACATGTACCCTAGAGGTATCCTAACAGGGAAAGAGAGCATGAAACAATGCTGGCTGCTACCGTGGTGGCAGTGGAATCACAGGGATACAAAATAGTTGAACATTTTGTGGAATATGATCAATTTCTGGTACTTATTGTCAGAGCTAACATCAAAATAAAATTTAAGTATATATAAAAAGTTTGCTACTTGCAGGCCATTGCTTACAACATCAAACTTGTGTAGATTACTTTATCAATTGATGCTTTTCACACAAACTGATTGGTGTCTCAGCGTCAAGATTAAAGGCATAAGTACTTTTCCAGAAGAGCTCAGGTCCCAAGCTGAGCTTGTTCTGGGACTGAATATAATTGCATTGCAGATGTTTTATTAATTCCTACTTATTTTTCTCTTAATTCGCTCCAGAATACTTTAGCCAAGTGTGTTTGATTGATGCAAATGTCATTAGGCTTGGAAATGATAATGAAGTGAAGGACTTTGTGGTCCTTTTAAGTAGGTATGAACTATCTCAATTTGAGATAGTTTGATTGAATATCTGTGCCATTGGAGATACTAGAGCCATCTGGACACGGTCCTGAGAAATCAGCTCTAGATGGGCCTGCTTGAGCAGGGAGATTGGACTAGATGACCTCCGAAGGTCCTTTCCAGCCTCAGCCGTTGTATGATTTTGTGAACTATTTTAGGCATTTTGTAAATTTCTTTCTTTAAATTCCCCCGATTGTGATCACTTTAATTTATGCAAGACTTTGTGCTGAACTGCAGTTTTTGCCTCTGTCTCTATGGCCTGAGTTTGTGTTCTCATTGGTATTTTTGTGAAGCTGTGATATCTGATGGAGTGTAAAGGTTTCAGGTAGGCATTTTCCTGTCACTGCCCACTTCTCCCCTCCTCTTTCCTCTCCCCCGTAACCCAAAACCCAACTTCAATCCACTAAGACAATTATTTCCCTTTTTACTCCAGCAATCTTTGAAAAAAATTAGTCAGAAGAGAGCTCTGGAGATCACCTGACTGCTGGAGAGCATCTTCAAAGTTAGGTCAGGTTGCTCAGGGTATTGTTCAGGTAAATTTTGGATTTGCATGAGTAAAGATTCCACCACCTTCCTAGGGCTAAGTTGCAGTGTTTGTTATACTCCTCCTGAACATGCTGTTCCTTTGTGCTTAGCTGGAATTTCTCTTGCTGTGGCTTGTGACTGTTTCTTCTTGAGTGTCCACTGCATGCCTCTAAGTAGGAGGCTGGCTGCTCAGTATTCCTTCTAAGAGAAAAACTGTTGAAGTCCACTCTGTCCTTTCCCTTTCTCTTCTTCTGGCTAAAAAAGACCGGTTCCCCTTAGGTTTTCCTTGCAGGTCACATGCCTTCAGCTGCAGCAGCCCTCTTGTCCACTCTGATTTGTTAGTGTCACTCTTGTATTAAGAGACCCAAGCCAGATACAATACCTCAGCTGTGGCTTCAAAAGTGCCAGGTGAGGGGAATAATCGCTTGTCTTGACCTCCTGTTTACATTCTTGATAGTGCATCAAATTGCTGTTAGTCCAGATCACTGCAAAAGCACTCTAAATTTTGCTATCTCTGAAGCAAGACAGAATATACTGGGATCAGTGGTCTTTGCAGCTAGTATATTCTTGTTCAGTGGCCAGTGATGCACCAGATTTCCTACACAACAGTGTGTTCCTCTGCAAATAATTTTGGAAGCAGATTTGAAGAAACCTCACAGATATTCCCTTCCCTGCATGTACGTGTGGTTTTTCTGTGTTGTGTGTCTGGTGCAGGATATCTGAAATCTGTCACTTTGGGGCCCTGTTATTGTTGGTTTGTTTGGTTTATGAAGTAAAGTGCTAAATGACTCTCATATTGAGGAGTTGTTTGAACTTGTTTGGTTTGGGGGAGGGGGAAAAAAAGATGCCATGGTCATAAATCCAAGATACTGAGCTTTCTAGGTGTTTTAGTTAGAAGTCTCTGTTTTTCATCATATGTCTTTGGCAAACTGGTTGCTGCTTCAACAACACAATTTGGTAATAAATAGTACCAATTGGCAACGTCTCTATATAAATGAGACTTTTTTTTTCCACGTAGCATTTCTTCTCTAACAAAACGTATTAGAGATATTTTCTGTCTCGTTGTTGGGAGCTTTCCTGTATGAGCCCTAATATGTGGAGTTTTGGCACAGTGACTCTGGCTGCTGTGGGCTAACATTTATGAGCAGTCAAATGAAAGGGGAAGCACAAATTCCTGGCACCGTCAGGTCAGTTTGGCAAGGTAAACTGCCTAAGTGCTTGAACTTGTAGAAATAACTTTCTGGCTTGGAAAGTATGGATTCATGAGTGATGCTGAACTAGTGTGCACAAGCTTTTAAAGGACCTTTTGTTTGATCAGTGCCTCTTACCTGTCAGCAAATGAGCAGAATTGCATTCATAAGAGCTTACTCACATCCTGCATCCTTAAAAATGAGAGGAAAAAGAATGGTTGGATTATGATAGTAGGAAACCAGAGAAGGGGTTTAGTCGTTGGTTACTGCATTTTTGTGACTGAAAACATCCAAACACTGCACTAATGTAATTAGTATTGCAAACAGAATATGGCAAATTTATAGCCATTTTCTCAGTGTTAGCATATATTTTTTGCTTCTCAGTCCTGTGCTATTCCAGGACTTGTCTTCTCACTTCTTGATGTTAGTTTGCCTGATGATTTTATGTATCCCTGGTGAATGAAAGGCAGAAATCAGTTATATTTTTGCCAAGCAAAACAGAACTTGTTTCATATCAAAGGTTAGAAAAGGGACAAATCTGCTCCATGTCTTTCTTTTTCACCCTTCCCTCTAACCTAATAGCAATAATAAAATGAAAAATCCAACTTCTTGACTGTATTGATTAGGCAGCAGCCTGAAGTCAGGTGAGAGCTAAAGATTTACACTGTCTACACCAGTATAACTGGAACTGGAATCTGCTTTAGGTCCTGCCATGTCATCTCATCTCTAATTTGGGAGAAAAATAAACTGTACTCCCTGTCATTTATTGGAGGGTTAGTATTTGTAGACAAGGCACAGTTTGTGGCCTCTCAGAACTGAGAGGCATAAGCTTTTTACCATGTCAAATGTCACCTGTCATTCCATTGCATGTTTGTAGTGTATTAAGCTACTTAAAATTGCATATTGCCTGAAGTTCTGCGCAATAAAGAGATTGCTTATCATTCACGCACTGTTAAAAAGGGCAGCCTTTCATCTCTTCAGAGTAACTATGACCAGGAAAAAAATTAATAGTGTGATAAATGTGAGAGGGGGGTTTAAATCACTTGAGGCTTGCTGACAGTGAATATTTAGCTTTGGTTTTGTTTGGTGTTTAAGATTATCTTCAGTGACTGACTTTTGGTGGTCTGGGTTGATGAGCCAGACATGTTGTGCTTGTGTGTAATGGACATGCTCTCTTCTTAGGTATATGTTTCATGACATTTTCCTTGGTAGTTCAGGAGATGAGAAAAAAGGATTAAATACTTCAACATTAAAAAAAGACCAGGGTTGCAGGCTGCAAGATAGCGTGATTTAGACATGCTTGTATTAAAGCCAACCAAAATTCATAACCTTATTTAGCAAAGCAAACATACACTTTGGGCCGTAGGCATTAGTGAAGTATGCTTTTAAATTTTGATCCATTTATATGCATACAACATTTTTGTGCTGGTACCTCACCACCATTTAAAGGTAAGTTGATCAGTGATGTGCAAAGAATGATGGAAATTATCCTTTTTTTCTCATTTTTGGTTTGGAGAAACTAGATCAATAGTAGAATAACATAATTCAGGTGATACTTCGTAGTAAGCTGCTTTTATTTTTATTCCTAACAGTACATCCTTTCGGGCTCTGATGACTTCAATTTGTATATGTGGAGGATTCCTCCAGATCCAGAAGCAGGTAAGTTCTGTTGGTTTAGAATTTGTGGGAGGAGTGGGGCAGAGGGGCAGGTGTCTGACAGATACTAGCTTGTTTTTTGGAAAAAATTGCTTTTCTCACTCACCCTGTGAATCTAGAGTAATTCTGTGGAAAGCTGGATAAGGGAGAGTTTACAAATGCCTAATCCAGTCTCTGAGTAACAGTGGCCAAAGTAATTTGAACATTTTATCGTAATGATTTTCTGTTTATTTTCCTTCTCATATGGTGATGATTCATTGCATAATGAAGCTTGCAGCATAAAATGTTGACAGGGTTCTCCTTATACTCCAGTGCATTGGCCTTCCTTCCCTCTCTTTCCTCTTACACCAAGATCCTCCCAGGATTTCCAATGCAAAGGAGTTACACTTTTTTACTTTCTGAGTGGAGGAGCACTCTCAGCTGTTGGAAATGGTCTCTTTTAACTCGCTTCTGACCTGTTCCCATGCTGGGGCAGACATTCTAAGCAAATAGCACTAAGACGGCCCTGTAAGAAATTATAGGAGAGAGGTGTTGGAGTAAAGAAAAGCAGCAATGTGTGGGGGATGTAACAGTAGCATTGTTGATGCCACAATGAGTCAATGCTTAATTTGATATGGTCTAGCAGAGTTTGGCAGTATGACACACTAAGCCATACAACGTCAGCATCTCTCTTCTGTTGAAACAAATCACTGCTCTTTTACAAGGGTGTTAAATCTTAATTGAAAGAGTCAAGACTTTCGGAAATGTACTAGTATTTCTATTTTTGATGGCTCTGGCAGTTTAAACTCTACATTTTAGTGGTATTAAGTACAACTGAGTGCCATCCTCTGATCTTGAGTGCTTTAGTGAGAGACAATTACAAGCTGGGTTAGAGGTAAAATGAAAATACTTTGTTTCATTTTCAAGGTTGTTAATCACAGCTGTATAATCCACAGCTGAGAGGATGACTGGCCTCTAAAAGATTTGGTTAATGGCAGAGTTTTGAGGATAGTGCCATTCTAATTTTGGGGGTTTTGTTTATTTAACCAACATTTCATATTGCAGTCCAGAAGTCCTGTTAAATATACCAGTAGCTTGGCCTTCACTGTTTTACTGTTACTTGAGGATTACTGTGTGGACTATAGAACTACATTTTATCCATGTCACTATACTTGTCTGGACTTCTTTTGTAAATTCTGGATTTGAGATTTTGTGTTTATATAGCTGTGATGCTCTTGAAAACTTTTTCCCAGACAGCTGCAAATTACAAACTTTTTATCTGGGACTTTGGCACAGAGTGGTATCTAGTTCTTGTTGCACCTGTATTTAAGCAAAATTATCTATTTCAGAGTTGTTATTAAGGATGCAGCTCTGTGAAAAAGATATATGCTTACAAAAAAAAGTTGCAATTTACAAATAGCTGATACATTTTAATCAAACCAATTTACAGTTTAATATGTGATTTACCACAAAACAATGTCATATGTGTTTTGTTCAACTTTTTTGTTTCCGATTCTTGTAACTTGAGGAAGGGTGTCAGTACATTTGCAACATTTCAGTTACAAAATGAATTACTAAATATCAGTTGCCCTCCATGGTTGCTTAATGGATAAGAAGATCCTGTTGTAGGAGGGTGTATGTCTTAGTGTCTTGTAACTCGAGCAGTTCTCTTTTTGAAACATTTTAGCAAAACTAATGAGCTTTGTTCTATTAGACCTAAAGATTCCGCTTCCGTGGCAAATAACTCATTGGCCATCCAAATCACCTGTGATAGGCTTATTGAAGCTATTATTTTCTTCATTCAGCTCTTCTTGAAGGGCTGTACCTGTTTTGAATGTGATGAAATACACTTTCTTAAATCTCCTCCTGCTGTTTAGAATAATTGTCAGACAGAGATGTCACTGTGCTTCCTTCTTAGATAAAGAATCTTGCTGTAGGGATATGAAGACTTTAGAAGGCTTTTGCTTCAATGGAAAACTCCTTGTTCCTATGTTGTAGCTAAAATAGGAGTGCCTTAGGGTCTGTGACCTGGGAGGGTGGAATGTGGTCTTTCACTTAAAATAGTGTACAGACTAGACAGGGTAATGTAATGTCCTGTACCATTTGTTGGTATTTTAAACAAAAATATCTCTCTGTCTGCTTTCTATCTTCCAGTTGAATTCAGACATTGTGTTGCTATAAGTATTTATGATACAACTCTTAAATTGTATCAGTTATTTGTAAATAGTGAGCTTTTCGCAAACATATTATCTTTTTAGAGAGTTGTATCTTTAACAATAACTCTGAAATAAATTATTTGGCTTAAGTACAGGTGCACCAAGTACTAGCTATCTAATGGTTAGCAGCATTAGTGCACAAAAGATGAAGAAAATTGTGAAGGATCACACCAGTCAGACAATTGCAAACACATTTCAAGTTGGAGGAACATGGTTACCTGTGTTGGTATTTTGCCAGTAGAATTTGGGCAGGAAGGTCTGTGAAAAAAGATATTTCCTAAATTGCTTAGAAGCTATTCTATTGAAGAGTTTTACTGACTGTCTCTCTCCGTAGTCTTAGATTATTCTAAATAGGCCGGGATTTTCTATGCCAGAAGGTTGGGTGGTTTTTTACCACCTTTTGTGGTTTCTTAAAGGTGGAATAGTTAGTTCATTTTTCCACTTTCTTCTCCATCCAAGTACTATCCATCTTTCCACTGTACTTCAGAAGTAATTGCCAAATGTTTGGTGAATTTTTTAGCCAGTTTCATCTTTAAAGTGTACCAGTTTTCTTCAGAGACAGCTCCTAGCAAAGTTAATACATTAGTCTGGCAGAAGAAAAGCAGTCCTGAGTTTCCACAGCTTTTACCTGACTCCAAGGCAGGTTGTAGGTGAGAAGAGACGTGACCTGCCCAGCAAGCCTGTTAACATATAAGCACTTCAGGCATTATTTAAATGTAACTCCTATAAACAAGGTAAAAAAAAACCAGTTAAAGGCAGAACCTGACATGTCTTGTGGGGTAATAGAGGGCTTAGTAGACCAAGTGTTTTGCAAAATGGAGTTTACATTCCTCACTCACTACTCTGAATCATCTCTGCAACTCAGAGCTTGTCTCTTGCTTTTGAAATATTGCTCCAAGATGCTCTGTGAGGGATACAATATTTATTTGTGATTGAGAAGACAACTAGGGATCCCTCAGTTTGTGTGAGCAGGCTGTCACTAAATCAGAACAGCAATCTGCATTTCAAAACCTCTTTTTAATTCTGTCCTTGACTGTAACTGCAAGCAAGAAAGGGCCTATCATTGTGGTCTGGTTACTAAACTAATTGCACGTATTTTCAGCAGAACTGACGCAATTTTATTTCCTTTTGTTTCCTCCCCCTTGGTCTTTGTAAATGCAGACATTTCTTTAGGCAATAGAATTCAGCAATAGATCTTTTCACAATATTTGAACAGGGTTATCTCATTGGAGACAGCTTGTAGTTTAAGTTCTCAAAGTCCCAGGTGGATAAGTGAAGGCAAATGATGAATAACAAATAATAGAATGTTTCTTAACATCTTCACCTATTTTTGAGATATTTTATATATGTGCACACATGCATATATGCATACTATGCATGTATGGGTTGGGATGCAGGGAAGCCATCTGACCCGATAGGGAGCATGCTCTACAAGGTTTGTATTTTTTAAAAAATATGATTTTTTTTGAGGTGTGGTCTTGGAATCTAAACTGGTTTACTTTCAGGATGGTATTTTGTCTCTTTTTTCAGGTCAGTCAGTTGACCATAGTGTGCTATGGAGCAGTTGTTAAATTAACACAGGAAGTAAGTGATGGGGCATTGTAGAAAAGGTTCTTGTGTTCAGTGAAATTGAGACTGGTTTTCATGTCATGTGGATTGTAATAATACCACAGACCTGTGGAATGTACTGGCTAGATGGCATCTATCAGAAAACAAGGCAGTGTTGGGTGCTTTGTAGTGCTGTGGACAAGTGGGAGAAGATTCAGCATCTTTGAATGATTCTCTCACCAGCCTTAGCATGCTTAATAATTTAGGAATAGAAAACTGAAGACAACATTGAGCACTGGGAGAGGCTAGAGAAGCTTTAGTCCCTAGCAACTAGCCATCTGATAGTACCAAAGATCCTTCCTCTTCATTGTATTGAACATGTTTGCAGCTACCATTACAAAAGAAATGCAAAGGCAAGCAGTTTTCACACCTCTGTTAAAAAAAACCCCAAAACCAACCACATAAAAACCAAACCAAAACAAAAAACCCAACCACACAAGAAACAAACAGCTATTGTTTGTATGATAATTTCAATTACTTTATTTCTGTTGTGTTCAGAAAGCATAATTGGTGGGGGTAATTTGCATCATTCCAATAACATTGTGAAAACCATTGCGACCTATGCAATTAAGCATACCAAAAAAGCAGTGTCTCTCAGACCAGGAAGGGGAACAGAGTGGAAAGGGTATGCCCAAGTTTATTTCTGTAGTAATTTTGTCTTAGCTTTCATATTGTTGTTCAGCTGTACTGGTGATCACAAAAGTGGGAGGATTGGTATAGATAAGGTGTAGATAGGTATGGCAGATATTTAGAAGCAACAAAAGAAGGAAGAAAGTATACATCCAAAAATAGCCTCTACCATACAGCTTTCTGCATTGTCTTTACATGTTTAAATATTACTTTTCTCTTTGGCTTTTGGAACCTCCACAGAGGTACAAGACCACTGTGGGGCTGGTTCTAGGCAAAGGCCAGGCAAAGCTGTTGATTGTTTAGAGGAGCATGTTGTCTGAGGCAGGTGCTGAAGTCAGCCGGTTGCTCCCTGCGCTTTCACTAAAGCTCTGCAAGGCTATGCGGATCCTTTCACCTGGCCTGGGAGGTGAAGAGGATATTCAAAGGTGACAAAAGAAGCAGTTGGAGCTCCAGGTCTAACAATGGACCTCCTTTCTTACAGAAAGTAGTGCTACTCCTGTCTCCTTTTACTATGCTGGGAGGAGAAGGGATCTTGGCCATCCCTTGCTGTTCTCACCCCATGTTTAATGTGACCAAAGTCAGTTTTGCCTGTGCTGCTGAGAAACTTTTGGTTCCTCTGACTGCTGCCAGAGCTGGAGTCAGATTCCTGATCCCAGTAGTAGGTATGCTGCAGCACCCTGTGCTCTCAGGGCAAAAGTAAGTGCATGTGTTTAAATCCAGCTTCTCTGCAGACAGGTTTCCAAGGAGCAAAGCCATCTGCTGGCATCCATTGTATGAAACAAACACAGGTGTGTGTGTGTGTGTGTGAGAGAGAAAGACTTTTAAGGAGTCTAATCATAATCTGCTGCACTGAAGGCAGAGGCCCCCATATGCTATGCATATTGGCTTGCATTGTGCTGTGCATTTACATTCCAAACTACAGTGTCTCTCTTTGTTAGCACATCGTGACCTCATAGGATTCAAATGCAAAGCAGTGGCCTATGGTCTAAATGTGTCCTGGATTATTACTAATGAAAACTAAATTAATTTTAAATGAGCTACTACTGTAGTGCCAAGTACTACAGTGGAATGGTATGCTATGGCATACTGGCAGCAGCTGCAAATATCTGGTTCTTCTCAGGAGTTTTCAGCACTTTGCGTAATTTAACAAGGCTTGTATGAAGTTATGCTTAAGTCTGTGGAACATCTCTCTACCATATATGAACAAACAGTGGAACTTCTTTTTCAGTGTCCTAGATAGAAAGGACTTCTTAATGTGGTCATTTAATTAATCTGTTACAGAGCCAGTGGATGATAGTTTCTTATCTCAACAAGTTCTCTGGCAATTTGACAGGTTTTTTTAATGTTTGGTACAATGCATCTTCCATTAGTTTAGAGACTGTTCTACATTCTTACAGGGTTTCTGCATTAGAGCACTTTCCTAAAAATTTATCACTTTCGCTTTTTCCATGTCCTTCAAATAATTCATTCTGGATTTTTCTAAACACTGCTTCATGCTGTACGATTCGTGTAGTGGAAGTCAGAATGATGTTCAAATAACTCTCCTTCATTACAATTTACTTGAGTTATTTAAAATATGTTGGGATGTACCATCCAGCATGTTCACAATATGTCATGTCAATTCATTCACACAAATATTTACAAATCCACATAATTAAGAAGTATATCATTAGCCTAACATTTAAAACACAAAATAGTAAAGCAAACAAGAAGTACTCGCTTTGGCTACTTAGTAGACATCAACTACTTCAAAGCATTGTATTATTCCTTCCTTCTGTCTGTATGATAGGCCTTGTGTTGCCATGGTATTCTTGTCAAACGCGTACGGGAAGTCTGTTTTAAAATATATACTTCAGATTTAGCCTTTTATAAGTTATTTCTTTCAGCTAGTCAGATATCATAATAGGATATTAGTTAAAGGATTTTTTGAGATTTTTGTTATTGCTTCTCTTTGGAACACTTATTTGCAGGGTATAGATGAAGAGGGACTTCCTTGACATTTCGCTTTGTGTATCAAATAAAAGCAGACCAAAAAACCCATTGATCAGCACAGCTAGAACACTAAACCACTTAGGACTGCCATTAAGCATAGCAATTTGGGGTAGTATTGCAAAAACAGCCAGTACATATTCATCCCTTCCATCCAGTAGTTAGAGGTTGTAAAGTTAGAAAGTTTCTAAAATTGGTATAATCAGCCTCTGAAGATTTTAAGGGGTTTTTTATATATATTATAAGTAACATATATGTAAACTAATGGCCTCTGTATAAACACTGCTTATACTTGTGGTAGCTAGCTAAGAATATAAAAGCTGCCATGCTAAGTGTTGCTGGACCTGTGCATGCCATTAAATTTAAAAGCAAAGAAATAACACCCTCTTCCCCTAAAAAAACCCCAGACCTCAAAAGGAAAATTTGAGTGCTGTTGGGATAGCAGAGGTCAATTCTGCTGAAACAATGCAAATGAAAATACTATTTCAAGTGAAGACAGTGAAGAGAAATAGAATTTATTGCATGCAAAAAAGGAAGATAGCCTCAGGAATTTGAACAGTTTCCACTTAATGTACAGATGCCCTTTTTTTTTGCCAGCAGACATGAGCAAACTTAACTCACACTGTGAGATGGCTAAAGCTGAATGGCTGCAGCTAAACCTCTGCTGAGAGACCAGGGGGATTCCAGACAAGTCTGGACACAGGCAGATATCTGCCATACATATACTAATGTAATATGATGCCAACTTTGCTGGGCTCCTATAAAATGAAGGAACTGCAGTCAGGATAAGGTTGTGGAAGGCTTTGCATTAAGAACTTAGAGATTACATAGGACTTGGTAGACTAAAATTGCATCAAGCAAGAAGTTGTCCAACAATGAGGTTCTAGGACAGTCTATTGTATTTGACACAAAGTATTGGTGGAATCAGTACTTTCTGGTTTAAATTATTAAAACCTCCCATACCACTGGTAAAAGCTGACTGCTAAGATTTGTACTTCTCCTGGGGCAATTTCATGTAATTGGGCAGTTAGTTCTTTTAAGGGGCTTTGTAGGGAATTTCACCTTCATTTTAAGAGGAGTGAGGTATTTTCTATTACTATGCTTCCTCTGAATTTACTGTTAGCTGCTTAAAAGGAACTTAGGCAACTTCAGTATTAAATCAGAAAGCTTTGCAGTTCCTTCACAGAGTCATAAAATCATAGAATCACAGAATGGTTTGGGTTGGAAGGGACCTTTAAATATCATCGAGTTACAATACCCCTGCCAAAGACAGGGACACCTTCCACGAGAGCAGCTTTCTGAAAGCCTCATCCAACCTGATCTTGAACACAATTTCTCTGAGCAACTTGTTCCAGTGTCTCACCACCCTCATTTAAAAAAAAATGCCTTCCTTATATCCAATATAAACCTACACTCTTTCGGCTTAAAACCGTTGCCCCTTCTCCTTTCACTATAGGCCTTGGTAAAAAAGTCTGTCTTTCTTGAGAAAGTCCCTTTTATTGAAAAACTGCCATGAGTTCTCTTTAGAGTCTTATTTTCTCCAGGCTGAACAACCCCAACTCTCTCAGCCTTTCTTGTAGGAGAGGTGTTCTTTCTCTCTGATCATTTTTGTTGCCCCGCTCTGGACCCACTTCAACACCTTCACATATTTTCTTGTGCGGGGGGGCTCGGAACTGGACACTGTGCTGCAGGTGGGGTCTCACAAGGGCAGAGGAGAATCACATCCCCCAACCTGCTAGTCACACTGCTTTTGATGCAGCCCAGGATACAGTTGGCTTTCTGGGTTTCAGACACTGGCTGAATTTGACTACAGCCTAGGGAGCCTGTGTTCTAGACATGGCATGCTGAGTGCTTTTCATCCAATTGCTCTTAGTGTATTGATAAACATTCAAGAAGTGTCTTCTGGCATTAAATAACTCTTTTCACTGTTCTGCTAGGAAAATAACCATGGATTAATTCACACTACTGACAGTACCATGGAAGGCCAATGAATGACTGAGAAATGCAGCCCAAGATACTGGTGCCTTAAATTTGTATTTCATCTCCATTATAATTCTTTCTTTGTCTTTCTAACTTCTGACTCTTTTGTAAGTGACTTGTAGGGCATATTTCTTGTTTTGTGCAGAATTCAGGCAGTCAGAGTCCATGGATAGTTAACACTTTTTTTAGGCATTACTTCCCAACTTGGAAACGTTTCCTAAACAAACTATCTCTTCATTCCCATGGTCTCTTTTCTGGAACATTTGTCACCTAGGTCAAGTTAAATGTTGAGAACTGGTCTTAATGTAACCATGTACTGTGGCTTGACAGATACAATTGGATTGACAACTGATCTGGCTGGAAGGAATGCTGTGGGAGTAGGGCAACTTGCCATCAGCCATAAGTATCTAGCAGGATGAGCAGGATGAAAGGACATGAAAAATCTCATAAAGGGGAAAAGAAAATCAAAAGAGCCCAGTTTGTCATTTAATAGACTTGCTCTCCACTCTGTTACTTCTCAGTCAAATTTACTTACACTGGTGAAATCTTGCTCCAGTGGCTGAAGGCAGAATGTACCTCTGAACCTTCACGGAAAAAAATGTACCCAAATAGGAGAACTGCTTAAGTTGTAAATGACAAGGTGGTTTTCCTCCGAAGTGGTTGTTGAAGTGTTCCTCCGAAGTGTTATTTCCCATCTTCTGAAAGTTTGGTTTTCTTTCACTGAAGATGTTAATCATAGCATGTTGATGGACACTTATTTATTCAGACACACAGGTGTACTTTCTAACAAATTGAAATTTTAATTATGTAAATCTATGAATATAAAAAAACTGCTGTGTGACAGTTTTCTTCTTTGGTGTATAGACCTAGCAGGAGTCAATGACCAAGCAAAAAAGTTAATTGCCTTCTGTTTTGAGTTTTACCGCTAGCACAAAAGCATTCCACTTCGGCTAATTCACTGCCTTGTGACAAAGCATTATATAACCCGCTGTTCAGATGTGTTATTTCAGGTCCCTCCTACCCATCAGACTAGAGTCAACTGTGACAATAATACATTGCTGATTTTAAAAATAAATTTGAAAAATAGTATAACTATTGAAAGTCAACCTCTTTATTTGTCTCTTCTTCAAATTTACAAACTGTGAGTAGTGCCATGCCTCTGGCACTACAGTTTCAGTGGTGAGTTCATTATGTATGTTGTTCTTATCCACGTAGTTTTCATATTAGGTCAAAAACCTTCATCGTTTGTTTAAATGAATCAAAGTGAGCCTCCAAGTCCTAATTTGCAGGAAGGATGCTTTTCAGCCAACTTGTAGCTTTTCATAGAGGCATTGCTCTTAAAATTGGAATTCTACACCCAACACAGGCCTTAAAATATAGAAAAATAAAGCTGAAGCGCATATAATATGACTTTACATGATTATGAATGAAAGTAATATGAAGATTTAATTATTCATGTCCATGTGTGCTTGTTTTCCCCTAGGTGGCATTGGCAGGGTCGTCAATGGTGCTTTTATGGTATTGAAAGGTCATCGGTCAATTGTAAACCAAGTGCGGTTTAATCCTCACACTTACATGATCTGTTCTTCTGGTGTTGAAAAGATTATAAAGGTAAGATTAGTTGTCAAAAAATGTGTTCTTTCAATGTTTCAGGAAGAAATGCTTTGGTTTTTTTCAGTGTCATTCTTTTCCACACTCATCCTGTCTTCTTATCTTATTCATTTGTAAAATGTCTCATTTGCTGGATAAACCAATGCAAATTTTTAATTGGGCATTTTACCTTTAAACTTCATTTCAATTTTAAAGGTTTCAGAGATAGGAGATAAGATCAGAATTTTCTGACCTTTTATCTTGAGAAAGGAGTTTTTCTCCAGTTTAATTCCATACCCGAAGTATCATGAAAAACAGTCCTTCTTGGGAGAGTCTGATCACAGGAGTAACGTGATCTCCTACAATTTCTGGTACTCTAGTCTAAAATTTTATAAAAATATCTCCAAAGACTAACGTTGAGCCTTAGCCTAGCCTGACCCAGTTGAATTTAGCCCAAATAATGCCTCAGGAGCCCTTCTATAATTGTTGTACATATTTGTTCAGTGAATCAGTTCAACATACCTTTTCTGTTCCTCTGCTTCCAGAGGAACAGAGACTCTTAACACCTTTCACAATATGTCTTTTCTGAATCCTTTACAATGTATAGCGTTTTTAGACAGTTTTTACCTTTTTCTGTGGAACTGAAAGAGATAAGAAACTTTGTTAGGTTTTGAAACTTCTTTCCTTAAAGAAAGAAAGTCAGTATTGTGTAAGCAAGGCAGAAATCTTTTTGTTATTTGAAGGTGGTGAGGCAGAGGATTATGCTGTACTAATGTGATTTGCATTCTGCTGCCATAGATGTTTTGCTATAATTTAGGTCTATCAACAGGATGAAAGAAACCATAACCATTTAATTTTGAAGTAGAATAATAAGAACTGCTGCTGCTTCTATTTGTTGAATAACTTCATAAAAATCTTACCTGCATGTGTCTCTAAATAAGGTTGTTAGATTATTAGTAAATGCTTTAGCCAGCTACAAGTTGACTGAGTGAACTTGTCCTGCAAAGGAATGTTTTAGTGATCTGCAACTTATGGAGCAGAACTGGCCCAAAATCCTGGGACCATGGCCCAGTGCCCAGCTGCATCACTTGCCATTACAGCTAGTATCAACATCTGGGTTCTGACTGTAGTTCAGCTTTCCTTCTCTTCTGTCTTCCACTGGAACTTTGGTTTGCTTTTCTACTTTGTTCTTCATCTGTGTCTGCCTGACAGGTTTGATCACAAATCTGTTAAATACAGACTTTGAACAAAAGTGCATTGAACAGTCTTAGCAGTTCACTGATTTTTCCATTTCCAAGCAGTCAAAGTGCCACTGTTTAACAACAGTTTTGCCAGAGGCATTTTTTTTTTTGTTTTGGGACCCTGATTCATGCAGCCTGAATTTTCTCTTTTGGATTTTAGATCTGCTGACCCTTCACCCTGTGAATCCTTCCTGCATGAGTGTGCTTAGACTGTTGGATTAGCATTGGTATAAACATCCCCTGTGTTCCTTTTGTGTACTTCTGCTAGGGTTTTGGCAGGGCATTTTTTTGCCTAGTGATTAAAAGGTTAGTTCGATTAAGGCCCCAGTCACAGGTTGTGTAACTCTTTCAAAGCACCTCTGCTTCAATGCTTCCTTAGAAGAGAATGCCTGTTGTGTCGCAGTATGTGCAATGGAACTCGTGTAGCTGCTTTGAAGGAACTGAATTCCCCAAACATTGCAAGCTAGAAACAAATTAAGGAAAAGGTGTTTAATGTATTAAGTTTATTAGCGAGCCAGAATGTCTTACCTTTTTGTTGAATGTGCTTTTGAATCAGCTTGCAATGTGCCTTGTTTGGGGATCAGGTTGTTTTAATGCTCATCTCTTGTCTGATCTGCATGACTTCAGTCTTTAAAGGTACTGGTTTAGTGAACAGCAGTTTGTGGGTGACCATACAATGGTGATTTCTTCTTTATTCCTGCTACTTCTATAGATAGGCTGAAGACTAGTAACTGCCACTAGCAGAAGGGTAAAACAGGGAAAACATAACCAGCAGTTTTGAGGGGCCATTTACTGCATTGAAAACAACTGGGAACACAAGTCCTTCTCTAGCATGGCTGTCTTTCTTTCCCCCATATAAATGCTTCATGTGCTTGCTTAGAGAAGTTGAGATGACAAGAGGAAGAGCCATAAATAAAAATAGTAGTTAGGTTTTTTATGTTTTCTTATTTCTTTCATTTTTGTTTGTTTGTTTTAATCAGTTTCTTAAGAAGTGTCCTTCTTTTTACTATCCTTTAAGTGTCTTCTAAAATTTCTGAAATTAAATCACAGAAGATAACTTCACTGTGATTGGTTGGTATTCTATTCCCTCAATTATAGAAACTTTGGGATTAATTAAAATGTGTATGCAAGTACTTGTGTGTCTGAACCCCTAATTTTTAGACTAGCTGGCCTAAATTTAGTACTTCAAGAAGGGAGAAACTAATAGCACCAGCATGAAGGCATAATACAGACAAGCCATTCAATAATTCCATGTACTTCTGCCAACACACTTGCTATTTTAATGCTGTTTGCAAATGAGATAGAAATTCATCTCAGGTCTAGCCCTGTAGAAAAGAGTAGTATTCACAAGAATGGTTTTGACTATTGTGGTTGTGCTTTTTTTGCTTTAGTTTTGTTTTGTTTTAAAGCACCCACAAGAATACAATTCAGTAACTCAGTGATTTTTGCTAGGACCAAAAATAAGACTCAACAAGCTCGTTAATAAAGAACACTAGAAGCCTCGATCCATATACTGTGTTCTGGGCATATCAACCCAGATGAATTGCTCATTGTCCTCTATTTCAGAAACTTGAACCTCAGTAAAATTGTACGAAAAAGCACAGCTGTGAACTCAAATTAACATTTGCAGCAAGCATTATCCACGATGGGCAAAAGCAATGTAAAATAGAAAAATACCACTTTCCCCTCAATTAATTGTGCAAGACATTGGGATGTGCTGGCAGGAAAACAGATTGAATTGCAGGAGAAATGAATGAGGCATTCGTTCTGATGTATGAGGCTTAGAGGAAGGACACAGAGAATTCTGCAGTTAGAAGACAGTTCCAAGAAAGATAAAATAGATGAAGTGCATAGCAATTTTAAAAAAGAAATTCTGTTTTGTATTGGAAATGTGATACTGAGCTCCGATTGGAAATGTGTAACTGAGCTCAGATGCTGTAGGTCCCATTTGTTTAAAAATCATCAGTATCTCAGATAACAAAGTCTATTTGAATATGTTGCTATGGTGACAGATTAATATCATTGTGACTAGCTGCCTCTGCCTAATCAGATAATCTAATATAGCTGGTTTTAATTATTCTGATGCTACAGGCATAACTACTTTTTTGTTTTAAAATTTGGGGGTTTGCCACCATGGAATACAAAAAATTTCAAAGATGCTGTCTGAAGTATCTCTACTGAAGTAGAGAACCAGTTTTGTATCCCCCTTTTCTGTTATTGTTCCTATTTTTATGTCTGTACTCAGGTCATCAGTTAATCAGTATTCAGCTCCTTAATCTTCTGTCAGAGAAAGAACTTCATGATAGATTGTTGCTTCAGTGGGATGATTTGCCAACTTACTTTCCCCAATTTGTTCACATTCTTCCTCAACATGGCTTCAGTCAGAGGATGAGGAAAAGACAAAAGCATTCCATTTACAATGAAGACCATTTCAGATGCACAAAGAGCACTGGACCAGTTGATGTTAGTTTAAAGACCTCCCAGTTCTGCCAAGGATAGATTCTTAGTCTAGTTTCTTTTTGGGACTCTGGCAGGCCTTTGCACTTCCTCATAGGAAAATATCTAAATTGTGGGGATTGTCTCTCCAGAGACAACTGATCCTCGAGACAACTGTCTGTCCAGAGACAAACAGGTATTCTCCTGAATTCTCTTGACTTCTCTTTATTATTTACTCCTTATTTACTCCTTCTCTGTGAACAAATCTAGCTTGGAAGGGAAAAGCCTCACTGTGAAGTTTTTGTAGCTATCTTCTCAATATTAACACTGCTCTGTTTTCTCTGATGCATGCAGAGTGAGCAGAAAGATGTGGTAGTGCTAACAAAGATGTAGAATACCTCTGTGCACACTTCATGTACCTTTTTAGATGAACTTAATTACAAAACAGACCTTTCCCAGAGGGACTTCAGAGCAGACTCCCACTCTTCATTTATATTGGTTCATAGAGAATCTAATTCTCTTGCTTAAAAAAAAAAAAAAGAGTTTTATAAAATTTAGTGATCAATCTAATGCTGCTATTTTAGGAAGGGGCATGCTGGCCTGTCTGTCCAAGCACACAGTATGAAGCATTGACAAGAAGGTATATGCTGTTAAACACAAAAAGATCTGATCTGCTTACTGATATGCTCAGTGGTGGGACAAAGGGGGAAAAGATCCGACAGGTTGTGAGAGAAGGTACTGAACATGTGCTAAATAAATCATCTGGAAGGCAGCAACTCAAGGATAGTCCTTTGAGCAGTAGAGTTCTGTTTTTCTATTCCAAATCTTGGTGTGTCCACAAATCAGCAATCTCTCTCTTGAATCCACTGAGAGAAGGCTCTTTCCTACATTGACTTTAGAAAGTGAAGCCTGGGAAACAGAGGATGAAAAGAGATTCTTTCTATACTCTTGAGTAGTTAAAAAAAACGGTTAAGTATGGTTTATGGAATTCTGTACATAGTAGACTTAGACTGGGTTTCGTTGTCTTCATCCAGGCCTGATGTTTGTCCCTTGAGCTATGTGTCTCATAAGTGCGGTGCTTAACCAAGCAACAGGAACTGTCTTCATTCAGGTTTCAAATGTCATATTAATGAACTGTACTGGAGGAGAATTTGCTTAAGTATTGCAAATAATAAAAATAGCAATTAAGTACCAATAGCAAATACACCTTGATATCGAGGCATGTTCCTAGGAACACACTAATGCAATGTAAAATTCCTTTACCTTTGCTGTGAAAGGCAGCTTGATGATTGTCTGCAGAAGAAGTTATATCTGCAGCCCACTTTAGTTTTTGCCTAGTATCTCTTTATCTATCTAACTAGATCATATGTGGAAGCTCTGTTAAACATAAATTACAAAGGATGCAAAGTAAAGGCTTTCAGGTTTGGGAGGATTCCAGAATGAAGTTTACTTGTACATCTTAAATTTGGCTGTGCTGGACAAGTAGTTGCAAGATAACTTATTTCATTTTGCTTCCATTATTAAAGGTGTAAGGTTTTACTGCACACTGTTGAAAATCTCAGTGAATACGTAATTACTTGTGGGCTCTTTTTATACTGCTTGTCATAGTAGTGTGAGATTATGTTGCATGTGTTAACTAGGCATCTGTAAGATAAGTGCTGATTATCCCATTTAGACATGCAAAACGCTCTTTTTATTAACAGCTTTGTCTACTTGGAACAAAACTTAATTAATTTCTGTTGGGAAAAGAGTTAGATGTTTTTGTCAAAGCTTATCCCAAAAGGCCAACCTGGTACAGACAACTGGCATAGAATTTTTTTTCTCTGAGCATGTTAGTATGGTAAAACTAAAGCATGACTGAAATCAGATGTTTTATAAGCAGAACATTAGGGCATTTTTGTGACTAAGCTACATAATGGCTCTGCTTATGGTAAGGAATTGTTCATCCAGTTAACCATTGATCCAGAGTGAAGAGACAGTGGGTTGTCTATGGATTGCCATAATCACCTTGCTCCCAAATCTGTGAGTAAAACTGAGAAAGATGAGGAGATCCAACTACTATTTTTGCTATGGATTACCATTTTCTTAGGGATATTGGTGGCTCTTCTTGTGCGCCTTTATTTTTTTCCTTCTCCACACCAGGATAACTGAGAGAAGGCTAGATGGACAGCACAGTCAAGACTGTTGTTATTGGTGAAATCATTACTCCTCAAAATTAGCTTTCAGGAAAACTCCTCTTCAGCTCTCCCCATTGAAACTGCTGCTGTGTCTTCAGAGGATGTTGGATGCTTTCTTTTCTTCATAACTGTTCCCTAAAGCTCTGATTTTCATCCCCATATATTCAGCTCCTTGCCTGCTGATCAGGTGCGACTGACTATGCAGCTGGATGAAATATTACTCTACACCACACAAGCAACTCTAGTTTCCTGGGAAACTAGTGCCTTCATTAGTGCTAAGATTGTATTGTAGGCAACAAACTATTCTTACTGTTGGTGAGTAAGCATGCCCCATTACATAAAAATACAGCCCTGCAATTTGGGAGAAATTATTACACAATGAATTACTGAAATGATGGATAATTTGCAGCCTGAGAGCTTTTAGGTTTCGGATAGGTGAAATAAATGCAGGAAAAACACATTTGTAAAGGAGAAGTAAAAATCCCGCATCTCTGCAATACTTGTTGTAAGTATGGGTCTGAGGGGTAAAAATTAGTAAAAACAATCTGCAACTTGCAGTTATTCTGGATATTTGAGCTACTGTTTCATTTAAAAAGCTTATTATAGTTTATGCATTCAAAGGTATATGTTTCATTTTTCATTACAGATCTGGAGTCCCTACAAGCAGCCTGACTGCACAGGGGACCTGGATGGTAGAATTGAGGATGATTCACGTTGCCTTTACACTCATGAAGAGTACATCAGTCTTGTGTTGAACAGTGGTAGTGGTTTGTCCCATGATTATGCCAACCAGTCAGTCCAAGAAGACCCACGGATGATGGCCTTCTTTGACTCTCTTGTACGCCGGGAAATCGAGGGCTGGAGTTCTGATTCAGACAGCGACCTCAGTGAGAGCACAATCCTGCAGCTCCATGCAGGAGTAAGTGAACGCTCCGCTTACAGCGAGTCAGAGTCCTCCACCTCTTTGCATCACTCCCCACCACATGTGGCTGAAGAGTCTGATGAAACTGCCTATAACTTAAGGGCCTTGAGATCGACTGCATCCCCCTCAGCCAGAGAAGACGTAGCTTCCCGTCAGCAGAGGCTATCTGCACTGAGAAAGTATCAGGATAAACGTCTTCTGGCCCTTTCCAACGAGTCTGACTCTGATGACAACACCTGTGAGGCAGAACCAGATACAGACCTTTTCCCACGGCCGCCGTCCCCGAGTCCTGAGAACGAATCCAGCAGTTCGAGCAGCAGCAGCAGTACAGAAGATGAAGAGGAACTGAATGAAAGACGCACATCTATGAGGCAACGCAATGCACTGAGGCGACGCCAGAAGGTGCAAAAGGAGGAAAGGACTAGCACTAACACAGAGAATGTAACCCCCTACATAGGTGAGGATATATATGATTACCCCCAGATCAAAGTAGATGATCTTTCTTCTTCTCCAGCTTCTTCACCAGAAAGGAGTTCAGCCAGCAAACAAGCTCTCAAAGAAAGGACGTCTCCTTGTTCAGACAGTGAATCAGTGGAGAGAAAGATTTACAAAGCTTACAAATGGCTTCATTATTCTTACATATCATATTCAGCTAGTAAAGATGGTGAATCCTCCAGAGGAGATGGAGAGAATGATGAAGGGAAACCGGGAACCAGTGGAAGGCACAGTGCATCACGCTCACTAACTAAGGAAGATTCTAGGAACTTAAGTTCAGTAATTCCTCAAGATTCCTCAGCTCTTTCTGCTGAAAGCAGAGAAAATTCAAAAGAATGTGGCATGATAGAAAATTCTAGCAATGGTCAAGCTCATGAATGTGACAATCAGCGACGGATGGAGAGTCAAGATAACACATCTGAAGACACTAGCAGTGGAGGTACAGAGCATTCTTTTGAGACTAAAAAGCTCAATGGAAAAGCTAACTGCAAAGGGCTAAATAGTTGTACCGAAGAACCTTGCATTCAGACTGCAGGACTTATGGAACAGAAAAATAGTCAGAACTGTCAACCAGCATCAAGCCATCACTCACTGGTCCCTCCATTCTCCACTGTCACGATCTGTAGCATGTCAGGTCACTGCTCCAGAAACCAGACTGATGACAGTGAGGAGAGGAGCCTTGACCCCTCCTGTGTTAACTACAATAATGGCCACTTGCATCTTCACCCTTCGTGTTTCAACAACGGACAGAGTTTTGGAGAGCAGGAGACTGTGACGCAAGGATTACAGGTGCACTCAAATGCTGATAATGGCAACCTTGTACAGGTGGGTGTGACCTTGCACAAAGACTGCTGCCTGTCTGAAATGGACTCCAACAGCTACAATGTGAGCACAAGAGAGGATACTGCTGACTTGCATCCTGCGGGCAGTGAGAGCACTCAATCTCTTGGAGGACTGAAAAGACACAGAGTGGAGTTGGAAGACGCAGATTCAGAGAGTTCTTCCTTAGAAAAGAAGTTAAAAACATGATAAATGCAAATGTCTGTCGTAGTGTGCACTCTCTCAAAAAGAAAAGGAAAATGCAAGTATTAAAGGCACATAGAGCTTGGGTCTGAAACATTGTGTTTGATTCTCCATTCCATTCTTCAAGTGGGTCTGTTTTAGATTGCCAGTGGTTCATGCTGTGTAAAAATCCAACTTGCTCCTTAATGAGACTGAGTCTAGTGTACCATACAAGGTTCTGTTTAAAGTAAATCCTTATTAAGATGGTTGACTGAATTATTCTTGTGTGAACATGTGTCATTTGTTCAGCCAGCCAACCAGGATGACTGCTCTAAGGTTTAAGCTAAGGAGGAAGTTTTCCGTATTGACACTTACTACACATGGCAGGCTGAAGAATGGTGGAATTAGATCACACTGGTGGTAGCTTGGGAGTGTGTTTCTTTTTGAGGAAAACAGGGAAGAAGCCTTTCTGGGCCCTTTATTCTGCTTCAGAAACTAAAGAAATGCAACCATTAGGAAGGATATTTTCAGAACTGGCTGGTATCTCTAAAGATGATACCTCATAAAGCACTTGCTTCTGATACAGGTCAGTGACATTATTTTTATGCCAACAGAAAAGCTATAGGAAACAGGCCTCTTTCCAAAATAAACTTTAGACTGTTCCCATGGTGACATTCAATTTTGCGGGTTTTTTTAAAGAAAAGAACTGAATAACACAGTGTCATCACTATATTGATATGTGATTGTTTGGCAAGAGACAGGTATTATGCTGTAGGCCTCATTCTAACCAAGGGCTATTAAAAATCAGACATGTCTTTCTGTGATCTTGACATATAGAAATTTATGATTATTATTACTATTATTATTAAAATATGGCTCTGAGTGTTGGGCTGTATCTTTACTGTGCCCTCCCCTTCCTCTGTGTTCTTACTTCTGAGAAGCAGTAGGCCAAACAGAAAATAGCAGAACTATGAATAACATAACAGATTCATGTTAACAGCAACACTCAGTAAGGTCCAGTTTTCTTAGCCCAAAACTTAAAACAGGTTGAGATTGGAGATCAGGGTTGTTTTTTCACCACTCTGCTGTTAGTATTTAAAATTGAGTAGATGTATTCAACAGAGTTGTGTGTGTAACAGAGAGCTTCAGAGAACTGGGTCTCCAAGCCTGGCAATCAGAACGTGGGCAAGAGCGTAGCTCTGGCTGCCATGAACTGGGGTGCTGTTCAGGTGGACAGAGTCCTTTCTTGCCTGGGTGCTGTTTTCAATGGAGTATCTAGTGAGTCATCTCAGTTCTGGCATGTTGGAATTGGTGGAATTGTATTTGCTTCCCTAGCAACAAGGTGAGAGGAGTCAGTGTGTGAAGGGAAAACAAACCACCTATAAAGGACGTAAAAACTTTGTGCATGTGCTTTGCAGTGCTGACAACAGAAAGAGACGCTTCTTTTAACCCCAGTAATTCTTAAAGGTTTTCAAGCCCAGTACTGAGGAAGAGTTAGTTTATTTTAAGGAATAGGATATTTTTGCTTTCAGTACAACTCTGGCAGTACTCTGCTGTAGAGCACTGGCCTCAGAATAAATATTTCATATGCGCAGCTCCCTGGTGGCTGGGGAAAGTAGGAAGATGCCCACTTAAAACATGATGACAGTAGAGGAGCACTTGAAAAGGGATGCTGAGAGGGAAGGGTATGGGAGGGAGAGTGAAGAACATGACCTGAAACATTCTTTTACCACTACTGTGTTCCATAGGCTGTCTGCCCACTCTGGGTCTACTTTGCCAAGTGAGAACTTGGAATAAGCATATGATGGTGTTTAAGAAGCATGTAAGATGGCTGAAAGGCAAAGGGGTGTTCGCAAATGCAAGCAGAAGTGGCAATAAGAGCAAGCTCTGATACATCGTTACCTTATTTAAAAAATAATTCTGTACTGATTATACTTTACACCACTGCAATCAAGATCATTATGGGAGTGTTCTCCTTGGTTGTATAAACATCTTATTGTAAATGCTGTTTAGCCAAAATCTTGGGGTTACTGAGTCAAAACTTTTTTATTTTGTTTTTTAAAAGTTCTTTATATTGGAAAATTTTCTCATCTATCACTTCTGGTGAATGAGCATCTCTACTGTCCTTTGACATTGTCATCACTTCCCAGTGTTTTCTCAAATGTCTTGTGTTTCACTTTCTGTTCTTTGGTTTGTTTTCAGAAGCAGAATAAAAGCTCCCAGATTTGGTGATACAGAATCACAGGATGGTAAGGTTGGAAGAGGCCACTGGAGGTCATCTAATCCAACCTCACTGCATTCTCCTGTACAGGCTCTGGGCTTAAAGAATTGCTGTGGTTTTCCCAAAGACAGCCTCCCAAGCTGTCTGTATGCTTGTTATTTCTAGTTTCTCTCAAGCAGGAGGGGGAAGGCAGGCTTTTGTTCATAGGAAATTTCAGTGCACACAAGAACTGCAGCACCTGAACCAGTGCATTCACCTTCTCACATGAACAAGTGCTATCAGCAGTAGGCAGCTCCATTGTCTGGTAAAGACCAAAGAAAAGCAAGCAAGCAGCAGCATGTCTCCTGCGGGCAGCCAACAGTGAGAAGAGCTGTTCTGTGCAGGTTGCTTTGCTTTGTTGTTGATTCCATGCATTCCTCTCTCCCACCTACACTGGGTTGCTCGCTGTGCTGTGTGCGGGCAATTTCCTTAAGAGTGTTGGTGTATTCTTCTGATTGTCACTCCCTGTTTCTAGGAAAGGAGTAAGCTGTTCAGTGGAAAATGTTACAAGTTTATATGAAGAGATTTCACCCTTCCTAATAATCTGCCATTTACTTAGAAACGAAAAGGTTGTGTAAATATTGAACTACCCTGTTAGTCACTATTTACTTACCATGCAGCTTTTTATGGTAGGAAATTTGCTAGGCCGCCTTGTACAGTTCATTTCCAGAAAATCTTAGTGGGAAAGAAAAACCCTCCCAGATCCTTAAAGAAATTCTTGATCTTTAAAGAAATTCTTTCTTGTATTTCTACAGTCTCACAGACTGTATTTGCTTATTTCAGCTTTTTCTGTTTAAAGCCTTAATGTCAAGCCAACCTGTTTGTGAGAGAGTCAAAACTGACTCTTCCTCTGAAACAGCAAGCCCAAGGCTTATCTGGGCTGCTTTCAGAGAAGAATATGAGATCTATCAACCAAAGTTTATCTGAGATTTTTCCCGCTCTCAAGTGATCATCTTACCAAAGCTGGTGAGTCTTCTCCAAGGTGAGTGGCTCAGTGGAGATCACACTAAGCTGTTTAGAAGCAGCTTGCAGACAAAGCGTGTCCAGAAAGATACAGCTGCCTTGAGAATGGAAGAGCACAGGTTTTGACCATGGACATATCAGTTGTTTGCAGTATGTTTTGAAATTTAGCCTGTCTCAGTTGGAATAATAATTGAGAAAGATGATTTATTTCTGAAACCTTTTCTTTTCCAATCCATTTGCAGTGGATTTTTTCACCCTAAGTTTCATAATAGAATAAGCGATGGAAACTTTGGTCCTAATCTCTGTTTATAACCCATGTCACTTGGTAGCTGGAATATCACTATTCCTCCAATATTTAAAGAAGATAAATGCAGTTAGGTCCACTTCTGAAATTCTGTACTTTCCTGCATTGTTACATCCTAGTAAACATATCTCTTGCTTCCTATGGCCATCAGAAGTTGATGTGGCCTGATATTACTAAAGTCTTGGGCTGCTTTCATTTGCAGTTAATTTATTGCAGACAAGAACAAGACAGGATTGTTGTTATTATGGTATTGAGTTAAAATGCTTCATGTTAGTAAGCTTTCATCTCCTTTTTACAGACACTACTATTGACAGAGGTGCCCTTTACACCTGATGCTTTCTCTCATTTTCACCCACTCAGATTCTCTGAATGTCTTTGTTAGACCTGGGAAGCTCAGTGCTGTGCTGCAGGGTCGGCAGAGTACCAGAGTAATGCAATTAGCTGCAACAGCTGAATTACTGTGCACATGCATAGAGTTCTTGAGGAATTCTTTAATAAGCTAATTCTAGCGCATACATGATTTATAAAACACATCAGTGAACTCCTGCAGCTGTGTTGGGCTCCACTAATTAGCCCAGCTAATGCTATACTGTTATGAACAAGAACTCTGTTTCAAGCATCTGAGAAAATGGCAATTCTTTAGGGGAAAAAAAAACCAAAACCAACAAACAAACAAAAAAACCAAACCAAAACTAGCACCTCACCCAGTGCATACATACAAAAATACCCCACAGTGCTTATGAAGGCTCTAAATTTGCTCAAGTTTACTTCAGTGGTTGTGCAGGTCAAAAGCAGAAAGGTCCCAGATGCAGTGTGTTCTGTGGTCACAGGAAATGAGCGATCTGAATTTGATGTTTGTACTTTGCCTGATTCAAGTCAAGGACTTGAACTTGGGCCTCCTGCTGTTCACTTGAGCATCCTAAGCATCAGCATATTGCATTATTCAGGAGTGGGGTTCGTTCTTTTGTCTGAAATGCAAAGGGAATGGAAATAGTTCCACAAATACCTGGAGCAGAGCCTTGAGCCCAGCTCTGTTGGTTTATGGTTTCCTAAGAAAATGCTAGAGGATTCTTTTTCCCATCTCCACCTTTGTGTGATCTCTATTTCAAAGAGCAGGAATGAGATATTGAGCCAGTCTTGTATGCATGCCATTTGTCTTAAATGTGATAGAATGGTCCTTTCCAAATTGGGTAGAGTGGATATGATTTTTATTTATTATTTTCCCATAGAGACATAATACCTACCTCCTGAGTGAGTGTCCGAGCCAGTGAACTGTTCATTTTGGGGTATGGCTGGCAGGCCATCTCTTTAATATCTTCCTGTTCAATTCTAGCCTGATGTGTCTGTCAGCAGCTCTGGAGCTGTGCAGGTGTAGGTTGGCATTGTTGCTGCTTCCAGAGCCAATCGGAGTTGTGCCCTTGCTGAAGAGGCCGTTTGCACAGTGGCTGTTAAGAAGTATGTGGTGCAAATGAGTAAAAAAATTTTGTATGTTCCTATAAACAGGCAGAAAAATGCCTGAATTTGAACTTTTGAAGGGGGACCAGGTCCCTCACAGCCAGACAATGCCTCTGGCTATATGTCTAACACTTTCACAATCATATGCTATGGGAATTGTTGGTTTCTATGTCTAAATATGGTCCTGGGACAACATTACTATGAGCCAGTGGTCTGCAGCATTTTGCTTCACAAATGATGGCTTCTTATTAGCAGCATTAACAGCTGAAAGCACGAGCTCTTACATACTTACAG